GTCTGGTCCACAAGGCGGTGAATCATCGTAAGGAGATACAGTCCCATGGTAGCCTGTGACCAACAATTGGTTCATACGTCATTTGTTCCCTCAGGATACCGGAGCCCATGTGCACCATTGGTTTGGAATCAGGGTTTTCCAATTCCTTTAGGTGGGCTCTCCGTGTCCACCAACCCGGTTAGAGCGCCGGGCATTCGCTTTTCATCCTCTCAATTCCGTAAAAATCGCCCTCGCCACGAGAAGGCAGTGAGTAGGACTTCCCTGGCAGATGCTATATACGCGTGGCCATGTGAGAGCATTTCAAGAGGGAGAGCGAACTCTCCTCACTCTCGGCTGTACCAGGGCATTCAGAGGCGCGTGACTATCGTAACCAATAGTTGGAGACTGGGTGACAGGGCTCAGAATCGGTCACAATGGCGCAAGTGTACACGCTCTTTGTCTTTCCCTAAACCATGAGATTAAAATTGCTTTATATCCTTCTACCAACTAATTATTTCTTCCTGTACTATATTCTCTTACGAAATGTTATTTTATTTTTACTGCCATTGAATTAACGTCTATCAATTTGGTGTTCACCTTGTGCTAACGAGGTGTGGCAACTTGGATCATTGCATATATGTGCCTGGTCCTACATTGTAGCTGGCTGACTGACTTCCTTAATAGTTTGTTAGTCGTTTTATTGGTTTTCCAATTTCAACGTTGTGTTGCCATAGGATTTCCAGTAAAGCCCCACTGTGTTTACCTAGGGATAGTTATACTTAATTATGAGTATTGATTCATAAGACTTAATTACATTCGGTAATTTAATTGTGATTTCTATAAACAACATTCGAGCGTAACTGCTGTTGTCATGCTGAGATTGCACTTCATGAAATTTGTCAGGCGATTCACCTAAGTTGGGAATTTGTATCCATTGTTTGTGTAAATCCTTAAATATAGGGGAGTTTACTAATTCTTTCACGTCACATCAACAGAATACGGGCAAAATAGTTGGGCTTTTGTTATGGCTACATATCTAAGGTCATAAGAGTATTGTGGAGTATTATGGATTATGTAGAAGTTTTTATTGATGAAATTAAGCTTTTATATATCCTTGACGATCAACTGAGATTCAAGGTAGATAAATCCCAAAAAGATTTAACTGATTCAACAGAAAACGAATCAAAGGCATGCTTAGAGAACTTCTAAAAAGGAAAATGATTGGTAATTCTACTTATAATGATCTAAAACCACGTGGGTCACGTCTGCCTCATATGTATGGTTTACCAAAAGTTCACAAGCACGACGTTCCCCTTAGACCTATCCTATCAATGATAAACTCACCGTATCACAAAGTTGCACGCTGGCTAGCAGAAAAACTAGAACCGGTTCGTCGAAGATTAGCAACATATACGTTGAAAGATTCATTCCAGTTTGCTGATAGACTAAATCGTACGAATGTTGCCGATAAGTTCATGGTTTCTTTTGATGTAACATCCTTGTTCACCAATATACCACTTCTTGAAACTATTGATATAATTTGTCAGAATTATGATCTCCTACCTTTACCAGCCCCGGAATTCAAAAAACTACTATTAATGTGCACAACAGACGTTCAATTCCAGTTTAATAACACCATATATCGTCAGATCGACGGCGTAGCAATGGGAAGCCCACTAGGTCCAATTCTGGCAGATATTTTTATGGGGTATCTTGAAAACATGGTGCTTAAACAGACGATCAGCGAAACGACGGAATATTCCAGATATGTTGATGACACGTTTATTGTCTGTAACAATAAACAGCATGCAATCCACATGCTAAAACACTTCAATAACGCTCATCCTAACATACAATTTACTATGGAACACGAACAGAATGACATGTTCCACTTTCTTGATGTTGCTATAAAACGTAGGAGAGACGGGACAGTTCAACGTTCGATTTATCGAAAAAGTACTTGGAATGGCATTTACCTGAATTTCAATAGCTTTTGTCCACTCAGTTACAAGAAGGCATTAGTTAAAACACTATTTTATAGGGCAGAAAAGATATGTACCACTGACAAACTCGAAGAAGAATTGATGAAAGTGGAAAAATGCCTGCGAGACAACTTTTACCCACAAAAGTTTATTGACAAGTATAAGAAGCGTAAACAAAACAATACTGAAGTAATTACTGTCAATAAAAAACCAATAACTATAAGTCTTAATTTCAAAGGTGACGAGGTTACAAACACAATCAACAGGAGACTGAATACTGCGCTAGCCAGAACTTATCCGGCGGCCAAACTTCAAATTCTGTATAAAACAACATGCTCAATAACTCAATCAAAAGTTGATAAGCATCCTTTTCATGTTACCGCCAATTGTATTTATAAATTTACGTGTACCTGCCAAAGCAGCTACATTGGCCGAACAGAAAGGAGGGCATATCTCAGATTTTTTGAACATGTCCCAAAAAGCCTCAGAACAAGAGAAAGAAAGACTCTAAATAGTGCAATCACTAAACATCTTCTTGATACAGGACATCAGGTCGATACCCTACAATCATTCAAGGTGATTAGTAAGCAGCCAAACTCCAGTCTTCTGAAGTTTGCTGAAGCAGTTGCTATCAGGCGCCAAAAGCCTGATTTATGTGTTCAAAAGGAGATGGTTATTAATCTTTCCTTGCCTTGGTGATTAATATTCCCTCGTTATATCTTATTAATTTTTTTTTCTTTTTTTTTTCCCTTAAACTCTTTATTGCATTTATTACACCATTGAGTTTTATTCCAACTATCTTATTTTATTTTATCAACTGAACTCTACTCATTTTATTCCTATCAAGGTTTATTTGTTTCTAACCGTTTGAACTGTTGTCACAATGTTCTTTCATCACATAAGGTATATATTTACAATATTCAGTCTATTAAATTTATTTACACCCTTGCTATACTATATGAATATGTCTTTAATATAACTTCCAATCAAACTCTTTTATGTAAGTAATTTAAACCCATTAATTATGATTTTAAATATCACAGGTTGTAAGCAGCTGACGAGAACCAACGAAATAAAAAAATGAATTCATGCTATTCTGCTAGAATGTTTGTTCTTGCTCTTTTCAAAATGATAAAGGGAACTATGTGTATGAAATTTTATATATACCTTAGTAAAATCAATACTAGATATTGGTCATCAAGTTGTCAGGGACTGATTGGTTGGACAGACGGAGTTAAATTAAGGGAGCCTAGATTACAGAATAAATGAGGTATTTTTATTACGTTGTCTGTTCTTATATCTTTTTCGACGTAATCACATTTATTCGATAAAGTTACAACTTTCTTTAGCACTTCGGACTATCACTTACACACCTGTGTTAAAAATGCTTTTTATTGAAAATAGTTTTCACTGATCCTGAGGACTCACATGAAGTTCTAACCTCTAAAAATACTCAAAGAAACGAATTCCTTCAAATATTGAGCGCTGTTTAGAATTGGCTGAGTCGTAAACAACTCAAGAGTAAAGTTTCATCGATAACCACTTGGTTTTGCTATTTGAAAATCAATCTGGGATCAATGAAAGATTGTCAACTGATTTTGCATGATGTTCCCGAAAACACAGAGTTAGGGATTGATCTAAAGTTGTAAATCTTCATCGACTGAGATGATTGGGCCACGTGTTGCATATGTTCAATCACTAATTACAACGACGCGCAATGCTGAGTGATGTTGGAGAGAGTTGGAAGTAAGTTAGGAGCGGCCAAAAAAACGTGACATCAGTTCTTGAAGTCACTAACTTCCAGTCTGAGCCATGTTGGGAGATGCAGACTACCTGGTTGACGTCTGCGTGACTATCACTTATTATTATTTATTTGAACACATAAATACTGGTACAAGGGGGCACCAGATACATATGCGCCACACAAATCTCATTTGATTTGTGTGAGGGCTGTGATACTGTCCGGGTGCCAAAACCGAAGCAGGGGGTTTCCTTAGGAGGCCACACCCAGAGCCTTCGACCTGAATGTCTGGTCCACAAGGCGGTGAATCATCGTAAGGAGATACAGTCCCATGGTAGCCTGTGACCAACAATTGGTTCATACGTCATTTGTTCCCTCAGGATACCGGAGCCCATGTGCACCATTGGTTTGGAATCAGGGTTTTCCAATTCCTTTAGGTGGGCTCTCCGTGTCCACCAACCCGGTTAGAGCGCCGGGCATTCGCTTTTCATCCTCTCAATTCCGTAAAAATCGCCCTCGCCACGAGAAGGCAGTGAGTAGGACTTCCCTGGCAGATGCTATATACGCGTGGCCATGTGAGAGCATTTCAAGAGGGAGAGCGAACTCTCCTCACTCTCGGCTGTACCAGGACATTTGGGGCCGCGACTGTTTAATGTTTTCCGTATAAACTATTAAGAACTACTTAGCCCTTCTTTTTATGGTCTTTAAATCCTTGATCGTAAATTCAACAACTGAAGTCGAGTAATAGTAAATCAAATCGTTAATGAAATAAATATTTTTGGAGTGGATTGTGCATCACGGTTGTTCGGTTAAACATAATTGCCGAACTGCCCGGAATATTTCTAGTTCGATAATCAAATGTATGTTAAAGAGTCCCTAAATAACTGAACCATAAATTCCCAATGACTAGTTTATAATAAAATGTCATTGTTTCCTGAAAAAGTTGTCTTTAATTTGACGATACAAACGACAGTTACATATGATTAAGCCAGAAGAAATTATTTTAAAAATGTTAGCTACTTAGTTTTAATATAGTAGTTTGATGTAGAATGCATTATATTAAAGATTTTAAAATTTACAAAAACTTAGAAGAGTAATCGAAATGCCCGATATTATTAACATTGTTTCTCTTGATAAACATGGAAGTAATCATTTTGATTTCTGAAATAAGAATAAGATATACTTACGCAAGATATAGACATTCAACTTAGATTATACACACCATTTGAATGAATGCAGAGAAACTGATTGACGATTAAGAAACAGGTAATGATTTCTATCTCATATGTATAGTAACAGTTAAAGTCAAAGGAGAAAACAAATAAACTTCAGTGTGTTAAAATAGAATACTTGCCATCCGATAATTAATACTTTTAATATGGCACTGTATGTGTACTTATTTATATTTGTGATTGTGCGTTAATTGTTTCGTAACATACGAAGGTCACTTCCTCAGTAATGCTTCAAACTCAGGTTGTTAATACGTTAGTTGATGCCTTTTTTAGCGATTGGTGATTGCAAATAACTCTTTCAAGAAAGTCATTGTTACAGTTTTGATCAATGAATGTTGAAATATTAGTATTTTCACCATGTGAATTCGCTGAGTTCGTCTGAGATGGAAATGATGTACGGATTAGTGATGGTCTTTCATAACCTAGTGAGTCAACACCACCACCAGTTTCCATTAACCAATAAGCTGTTAGACTCCGGTTATTGGTTGATCCACTACCACTATGAGGCATAGTGTCTACCATACTGGTTGATTTTGAATTAAATGATTTAGAATGTAGTGGCTTACTATGTGCATGGTTGTAATTAAACGGAACTAGATGACTCCCTCTTTGATCACTGTTATTAGCATCGGTGGTACTGAGGGAATTGAACTTATTACTGTGATTACTACTCTTATCATGAAAACCCAAAGTTTTGTAAGAATTTGCCTTTATGCCATTTTGATCGCGTAATAAGGTGTCTAAGCAAAAGTTTGAACTTGGTGGTTGGATTTGGTTTTGCCGATGTTGCAGAATCGCATTTGTTGAGTTTGTCATTTTATCAATTCTGTTCTCCGTATTACCATGTATTGACCGCGATTTCACCTTAACCGAGGCTTGTCTATTACTTTCAGTACCATTCGATGTGGTCGCCAATGTCGTCTGTTCCGTGGATGGATCGGACATTGAACATTCATAAGCACCAGCCAGTGGGGCAGTTGATGAGGTGTAAATTCGGTTCTCCATTCGAGACTCCCGGTAGTTGAACTTATTCATACTAATGCCTTCAACACCAGGTGTTACAATGTAACCACGAGTAGCTGTTTCTGCATACGAACGGCTTTTTGTATGAAATGCCGATGGCTTCAAGTCTTTAGAATTGTTGGATGATAGTAGAAGTTGTTTACTGGAGCTCATTCCTTGGGATAGATTGGTCTCATTAATTAGCGATGAATCCATGTCGCTTACTGGGCGTCCACCATCTAGAGATGTTCTACGTTGACAGTTATTAGAAAGCATGCAAAGTGATAAATCATTTGATTCGTGATGTGGTTTGTTGGAACCATACATGGATGCTTGTTGTCCTGATCTACCTATATGACAAAATAATAATAAGTGGTTAATATTTTTTGGTTGTCACAAGTTTAGGCGTGGAAAGCTGTATTTGTACTAACTCTGAAGTCTTATCATTAGATACATTAAAGGGAACCAGAAATTCTGTTAATTATTCTTAACCTTCCACAATTTGTTTAGCTATATAATTTTTGGTGGGCTCAGGTATGGGTTATAATGAATTTGAAGAGCTATTATTTTCTGATATTTTTTTTTTGAAATTACAACCCGATAAAAGTGTCTTTGACTCCAATAAAACCTTAATATAAATAGGCCATGTTAATTCCATTGAGAATAAGATCTTTTTACATTGACCTAAACCATCTACAAATTAAGAACAGGTGAAAAGTTGCAAAATGAAATCAAGAAAAGACTATCTACACACTCGGAGATCGAAAGGGGTAGTAAAAATATCTATTTATGAAGGTAAATATGACGTGATAACCGAATCCTGATACTACAGAATAATGCGATGAGATTTGGTAAGTTTGTTTTAGATAAATGTTTAGTCGAATTCCTAACTTAGTATAATGACACTTCGGATCTTCACCCACGGTTTTTCACTAAACAAAATACTGCTTGTATTGTTTTCTGTAGTACAAAATATAGAATAATTAAATGGTGTTTCAAGCACTTTGAAAAGTTTTAGGTCATACCTTGTAAACTTTTAGGCAGAGGCAACGATACAACAAATGGTTGCGAGAAGGGGCTTTGATTATTTTGTGAAGCCATAATGAATTCATCCATCTTTTTGCATAACTGTCCAAATGTTGGTCTCATTTCTGTGAATCGACTCCAACATTGTAGTAGTTGATTATAACTGAAGGTAAACAGATAGTAATTGTTTTATTAGGCTTCTGTACAAAATAATTGAATAAATAGTGTGTTATGGTATTGCAATTGTGTTTCAAAAGTATTTCATTTATCCATCAAGATTTCACTTGCATGTCAGGTAAAAATAATAAAAAAACTCATTATTCAAGTCTAAAATGGTAAAAGTCACTTTTGGCCTATTGGGACCTTTAAAGTATCTTCGAGAAAAGGAATTATATTTTTATTATGACTTCAATTATATGAGCTTTACAAATCCAGTGGATATTACTAAATTAATGGTTATACTATGGTTGTGAAGCTATCTAAAATACTGATAGTTCATGAACTACTCTATTAATATCATTTTCTTTAGTTAAACCTTTTTGAAATATCTAAAACACTTAGCACCTTTTTCACGCAGCTTATTTAACTGCAAATGTTAATAATATTATTCAAGACTACTTGTAGCTATGCGTTTCTTAAACTCTACTTTTCTGCTATAATGTGAGTGTTCGTATAGCATCTAAAACAATACAACAAAGTGGAAAAATGAGCACCATGAACTGAATGTTAACCACGTTGTGACTGCCTTACAAGTAGACTCATGATTGGACGGTTAAATGGAAAGTTATGCCGAAATGTGCTGAATATTACAAAGAATACTGTTTTATTTGATGTGCTTCACAAATGTGTACATACTGTTTCCGATGAAGGTTTCAGTGTTCATCATGGAAATTTCTTTCCCAGGGTGTGAAAGAGTGACATATCAGTTTTGACACCATCTTTCGTTCCAAAATGTATAACATATAAGCGAAAAGATTAATTCATTCACTTGTTAGCATATATATATCTAATAATAATAATACTATGATTAAGGACAATACAATACAATTTGTAGGGGGGTGGAATAGTTTATTGCTCAGACCATAAATAACAATAAATTCAACATTTTAAATATTACGCATTCAATTTTTTTATTTTGATCGTCTGGATTATATTCTACTTCTTTGTTACGACCACTAGGTTTCGTGTTGAAACATTTTCTTTTGATTTTGTTCTCATAGTGAGGCTTGAATGATTAGTATCTAAATATGAGGAACTGGTAATATTATGAACTCGTTAACATCTATCTACATTAAGCTTGAGGTACAGTTTCAAGGTTTTAATCAATAACTTGTTGTTGTTTGAACTTACAGTTCTTCTGGACAATTTTCAGGACGTCCCAAAACGTGTCCACCAATAACTAAATTCATGACATCCACATTCGCTCGGCCGTAAAATGGATCAGCACCTAGGGTTAAAACTTCCCAGCAGGTAACAGCATACGCCCTAAAAGGACAGAAAAAGTTCATAAAAATAAGGTAGTAATAACATTGATTACACGTGGCCTATGATATAAAATAAATTTAATAATATATTCAGAATATTAGGCAACTAATGTAAATTTAATTCAAAATCAGTTAACCGAACGAACTTAGGTTTAATGTCATAAAAATGCAACCACCCTAACACTCAAACATTTGTTTATTTTATTGAAAAGTTCAAAGGAAACAGCTAATAAATTATTCTATAGGAAGGTTCTTTGCAAATGTGCAACAGTAGATTACTGGTTGAAGTCTTAGGGTTTCAACCATTAGGAAGAAGGTTTTAAACTAGCAATAGTGAATTCTGTTTGAGGAACCGGCCACTATCAATAAATTTCATACAAACAATGCGGTTCGATGTTGAATACATAAACATATACTTGGCAAATGAGTCACATATGAAAGTAGAAATTTATGTTTACTCTGGTCTTTTCCAGAAACGTAATCAAATGATATTATTGTATCTCCCTAGTCACTTACATTCATTTGACTAAAAGATTTATTTTTATTTTGTATATTTGATATGGAATATTTGGATTTATTCGTGATCACGCGACAAAATGTTAATGTAGGGCACTCAAACTGGTGTATAATTTACTTGAAATACTGTGAAACTAAAATCTCACCCGAAAATGTTCTGTTAAAAACATTCAATTAGGGTTCATAATTTGTTTACCTTGTTTGGTAGGAAACTAAAGTTGTATAAGTACATTAACGGTATTTTTCGAGAAATCGGTCACTATTATATCCATAAGTTACGAGTTTCAATATCACAAAATCGTTTTACATTTAATATCACTCAACGTCTATAACTGGAACATGGTTTGATTTTCTTAGTAAATTTTCTGGTTTAGTGACTTGTTTCTATAAACTTCTGCCAACATATTATTTAATGTAGTTCACTGTTGTTTTTTAAGCTTATATCACTATGTAAACAAAGCTAACTTTATCACTTTAACATCATATGACGTCTGTTTTATTTATAATTTCTTATGCAAAAGAGAAATGTTTCCAAATAAGCTTTTCAAACAATGAAATATGGTGAAAATTACTATTTGATGTACACACTTCGAGTATTTAGAATCTAATGGATAGATTAAGAAGGATCACCTCAAACTCTACATATGGTAGTGGAATTTTTACTATAAGGCTATAAACTCTAGTTGAAAAATTCTTTTCATTGGACATTGTACTGTTGTAGCTAGATTTCAGTTTGTATAGTTCAAGAGAGGTTATTTTGATGACAGTTCGGCTTGATTAATGTCAGTCATACTTATTATAAAAATTTTATAGATGAAATGTGTTTGCATTATCCAAGAACTTGTAATCTGCATGAAAATATATGGATGCTTTTTAAAATTGTTCTTCATAACGTGTGCAATCGCTAGTAAGAACTCCGGAATATTTCTTAGGGTTACCATTATATGTAATAAGTGACAAACTTTTGCGAAACTTGTATATTCGTTAAATAAATCTTAAGACAACTTATTGAAGCTAATTTTTCTTCACAAGACGCTTTCAAATGAAGAGTTTAGCTATTCTTTGCTGAAAATGTTAAAAAACCACAGAATGCGGTTAAGAATAATAACAATCAATCAGAATGGATTACTCTAGTTGTTTGCCAAACAAAATTATTTACTCTGAAGAAGTGGCTTGCATTAAGTCACAAAACATGCGAAATAAATTTTTTTTACTCATTGGGTTATAATAAAAAATATATTTATTATTAAATGATAGAATAGAATTAGTAATGTAAAATCCAGTTTGTGTGCTCAATACGGCGAATGTATTCAGGGTAGATTATAAATGAAAATAAATTTGTGTATAGTAATTAGTGAGTGAATAATCTTATTTATTCCTCCTTAAGGAAGTATAAGTTAACAACCCGTTAAACATTTGACTCTGATGTATATGTACGTGGATACAACGTAAACGTTAGATGTATTAATATATCAATTACATACTGACAATTATGTTCAACTGGACTATAAAAACAGTTCTATAGTAAGAGAAATAATGATAAACTGCTAGTTTATATATAACTTATCTGTATCTATATATTTGTTTATATATCCATTTAAAAGATAAGCGAATTCAGTGTATGTCGAGTTTACGTTTTTCTATGCGTTGATTAGCAGAATAACCATATAGGTGTTTGTATGCAAACAAGTCCAAATACAAACTCTCGTGAAAAGGAACATTGATAATTAATTACTATACGTGTTACATCTTATTGTAACAAAAGTGTATATTTTGTGATTTTCTGTCTAAATTTTTTGCTTCTAGAACTGACAAAACCGTTCACACAAACAAAGAAAACATTAATTACATATGGTTAAATAGTTTTTCCACTGGTTTTTTTGTTTCAAAATATTCTTAGAAATCTTTACTAAATCAATTTAATCATCATTTTCAGCTAGTATCAAATTGTGACGCCTGACTGATTGTATAGACTGTAGTATAGTAACAGATATGACTAAGTTTCAAGTTAAGATATTTAATCAGCTTTTGAGTGTTATTATCTCACTTAATGATATACAAATGGTTTTTGTCCTCTTTAAATAATGTTATTATACGCAATAAATCAAATCAAAGACTGGACTGATATCAACTTTAAAGTAGTAGATTATTTGTTCTATGTTTTTTTCAACTATAGGCAATCGCTTCATAGTTTATTAAGAGAACATTCGAATACAGACTTTATGAGTAAAGACCGGAGGTACCTAATCTATCTACCTAAATAGATACATATACTGGAACATTTAACTAAAAATCAATTTTAAGAAGACTCATTTAACAAGAAAGTTTCAGAACTAAATAATGTACAAAATGCCAATACATAAAAACGATGAATCGAAAGTAAAAAGGAGAAGAATTAACATGTCAAGCGGATAACTCTGAAATTTTCTATAAACATGTTTAGCAGAATTTTACAATGTGATCAACATCTCACACGTATCTACGTCCATTTGAAATAAATCTAATCACACTTATTGTTTATCTACAGAGATCCGGGAAAGTTTGTTGAAGAGATTGCAACAAGAAATAGGTTTGTGTGTACATATGACACTTTAAAGGTATTCCATTTTCGATTATTGGGTTTATTCACGTGATTAGGTAAAGAACTTCACTCAGTCTTATCTAACCACGTATTTAACCATTGATATATATATATATATATATATATATATATATATATATATATATTCACAGTTGAAAGCACGAGTCGATCTTTGCTAGACCACTATTCAAGTCCCAGTAGCACTGGACGGCCATTTCATCTTAATATGGGACTTCTTAACATTTCGTATCCACGATTACACAAGCGGTAATTTAGCTCAGGACCTTCGTTCTCGCGCTCAACTACTTGATCTCGAGACTACCGAGCCGGCATTCAAAGGTGTTAATTTCTAACTTAAATCAATCCATGATCTCGCTCAACCCTTCATCCATTAGCTGTAACGATTAATTGTCTCACACCTGACATGGACTGAACTTCACTGATCACTGCTTCTACTTTGAACTTCAAGAGTTAAATCTTGAACTTGTCACTAGTGAGTACGCGTCTGCTGTTAATATGGGGGGAGTTTAACGATGAAAATGCTACAGTCTCCACAAATCTTCCATACCAACATATATATATATATATATATATATATATATATATATATATATATATATATATATATATATATATATATATATATATATATATATATTGCAAATTTAAGTAATGTTTATTGTAGCTAGTGGATTACATTTTGGAACAATTAATTGTTTCGATTACTTTCTAATGGATAGATGTATAGTGCTCAATATTGCAAAATTATTTTTTTAAACGGTACATACTGATGATCACATTTCATAGTAATTATCCACTTTTACTACTATGCATATAGAAGCCTATCTAAAAAGTTTATTTCATGAGATCTGACGCCTATTAACTAATGACTTCTAGTAGTGTTCGTTGTTAATCAGAACATGAGTAGCTAAATAAACTATGGAGTTAAGAAATGATTGAACCATTTTACAGCATCGTATGTTATTAGGAGGTAAGGAAATGTCGTATGTGTGATAATAAAAGATAAGGGTAAGTTCTAAACTTCACACCAGCAAATATTATTTAAACTTCTACATATCTTTTAGCATAGAGATTATTAGACATAAGACACCTTCCAGTAATCACTGAAAGTATGCCGAAAACTGCACGGGATTTTCACGATGGTAACTGTTAATTGTTTAATATTATACCTCTGTTGGAGGATTTTCTAATAGTGAACACCGTTAACACATACTTAATCGGGTGCATAAAACTCCTAGTAAAATTACTTGCTATGGCTGAAATTCGTTCAGAAATATAGATCATACCACTGGTTACAGCTCTATATCGGTAGAGGGTCATTCATAACTTGGTTTTAAGAAAGGATACAGTAGATAGATATTCCTATTTAAGTGTAAATTGAACGCTTTTTCTTTAATTGCAAAAGGTCAATTTACTGTTCTTCATACTGATATTGATTCCATGATATATCTATCCAATTCATAAGATTCCGATTAGACTTAATAGGCAAATTCATACATTATAATTCTAACTGACATTCCAACCATGTTTCTTCCGGCAAGTTGGAGATATTTTTTAATCGACAGATGGTATTTTAACGGAAAAAGTATTAGAGTGTCATTTAGGTGAATTTTCTTGTCACCTTCTTTCTAATTTTCCATAAGCGTCTAGAGTGGATCAACTTACTAGAATCCGCCTAAATATTTTTCATGTATATGGAATACCAATATAGGGTTTTAGAAAGGGAGAACTACTTCCACTGAAATCGTTTAGAAATATGCTAAGAAAATTTCCTCTTTCGAATTAAGATGGAACCTTCTTTATTGAATTTTAAGGAAACTAAACATTTCTCATAATTTCAGAACAATTTAGCCTCCTCTCATAATTCATCTTATTGGCAGACTTATTCTAATGATTAAAATGATATAGGTTTGTTTGTTGATTGAAAACATAGACCGCTTCATTCTGAAAGGAACAAAGTGTTTTCCACTAAGTGTTGGGCAGAAGCATCAATATTTCCAAAAGAAATAAAGTGTTCGGTCATTACACAATATACACTGTGTGTGATATTTACAAGCATGCGTAAATTCGTTTTATGTTCAGTGTTTATTTGTTCAGAGGTGAACTTTTGATAGATAAACAGTATCACTTAATTCAATGCACCAATATGCCACACGTCACACGAAGTAATTTGAACATCCTTACATAGCAACGTATTACCTATCAGAATCTGATAATTATCAACCTACAGATTGAGTTGCAATAATATCTAATCATTTCAGATAGCTAATTCAACTTTATTTATAACTACTTAAGACTGAATTATTCTTTTTATGTAAGTGAAAGGCAAAACTCCTTAACCTGTGTCGTCAAAAGCAGCATATTTACGTCAGATTTATCTAAAAATTAGAATATAGAATGTGAGTTGTACATGAGGGTATTTCAGTGTTAGTTAATAATATCCATTATGTGTCTTTGTGATGCTCATTATCTACAGATAAGTATATAAAATTATAGACGTATGGTCTGTAAAATAACTTAAAAGCCCTCGGACAACTTTGGAACAAACACCTTGTGTAATTAAAAGAAACATATCCGGAATCACAGATGTATTAGTAGTACACTGAAGCCTGGATATAAGTAATGGTAGATATGATATGTTAGATGAAGCTAAAACACCAGTGTTTAATTCACACAGAGAGAAGATATTCTTTTCTAACAGAACACTTATATAAATATTTTTTAGTGTATTAAACCATCATATTGCTTAGGTAAGCAAGCATGAAGCTATTTACCCACCTGTTATCAAATTAAGAACGATTCTTGGATAACTCCTACTGAGGTATTCTGTGAAAGGCTTAGAGAAATGAAAAAAGTTATAGATTTTTTACACCGAGATTTTACCCAGTAGCTATAATACTAAACGCGGTGATCAATAGGGAAATATTTGCTTACCTTACAGAAGTCCTTTTAAATATTTTTGTCTCTTCTTTCCTTTGGAATTAAATTGACACGTTTTCTTACTATAGACTTCTGTTAGACATAAAGTCACGTCATAGAAACTAATTGGTCAATGTAATCGCTGTATAGGTTTGAATACTGAAAAAGTTCTATTTTCTCACCATTCAGTTAGCAAACCGTCATCTGATATAAAACTGTGCATAATCAACAGACAGGAATACAATTTACTAGCCAGTATATGAGTCTCCTTATTCATTTGTGAATTATTTTGATCAGGAACAAGTTTATGAGTAAAATAATCCTTCCAACAATGTTTACTATCTACCTTAAGCATACTCTATCACATCCAAATAATTCTGATATAAAACAACTTAAAGTAATGATTTATTGAAAAATCTGGAAACCTGTTGTTGAGATTGTATAAAACATTGATTTACCAAAAGTTGTTTGTAATTACTGAACTTTAATAGGAACCTATTTTCCTTCCCTCATTTGTTTTGCACCCAAAACGATCAATAAATTCTGGAAATTCTTTTACTAAAATGTTATCTATCATTTTAGTTTACGTGTCTTCCTGTGCCTAACTGTTTATTGAATTTAGATTATTATATTGTTGTTTTCATTAATTTTCCTAATTTTTCATGCCTTGTACTTACTAAAGCGTCAAATGAAGGGTACATTTAATGGTTTATCGTAAGTGTTTCGCCTTTGTTTGTTAAAATATTCACAAACAGAAGCATAAATCAGTAAATTATGCAGTTATAATCAGAGCATTGGTTACTTGTATATTATGGTATCGAATACAAAACACAATGAATGTTTTGATTGTGGAGTTTAAAAACAAAATGACTCCCACTTTGTTCATTTGGATAGATGTAAGCTGAAGCAGAAGTGCTGGTAATAAATGTAGATGAGTAGATAATTTCAGAGTTACAGCTATCGAAAGAACAAGCAGCATGAAAATCTCAGGTATTGATCTTTCTCTACGAGACACTCACTTGAATAAATGTTAATCCTAATGTAGTGTATGATGAATGACTCCTTGGGAGAGATTATAATCCTTATTACAAAGCCTCTATTCGTTAACTACTCGGTTGACATTTTGTCATGTCAATTATTACCTCTTGAGAAAAAAGAATATTTATCTTTTCTAAATGAATAAAAAATATTAAAACTACTTCTTTAGGCTATAGAACTGAATTTCGAAACTTGTAATTCATACTGCTGTATAATGTTTTTGTTAGGTTTTATTGAGCTTCCCTAGTACCATTTAAAAAATATGTGTAATATAAACCAAAAAGTGTAGTGGTAGCTGATACTAAACATTTTCCACTTACCAAACATCAGATTTTGTTGTGAATAAACCATCACGAATAGCTTCTGGCGACATCCATCTCACAGGTAATTTGGGTTCATTGCGCTTACGATAGTAATCATTTTTATAAATATCTCGTGCTAGTCCGAAATCACACAATTTGACTATACGTCCACTTGAATGATTATGACTCACTAAACAGTTTCGTGCTGCAATGTCTCTGAAAAAAGAGATTATATGCATTAATAAGTAATAGTTTAATACAATATCATTGCGGAAATCGATATAATTGCATGTCTCAGTCTTATAAGGTCGAATAGGACATAATAAATTTTCGGGAATGAAGTTGGTTTTCCTCATTAATAAGTAGAAATTGTCGGACACATGGTTAGAAATCGGAATAAGCAGAGATCTGAGATTAGCACAACTGCCAAACTGTCATTAGGTTACAAGTGTATTAAAATTAATTAGTAACTAGCAGTGGAACTCAGAACATTCTTTTCGTTCTACATGTGACTTGTCAGCTGATTGTCGTATCTGGATCTCAGCGCCGAGGATCACACTGATATTAAGACACAGCATTTTGGGCTTCAAAAATTAACCCTCTATCCATTTAGCTATTGAGTCCAGATAGCTATCAGATTGTGCTGCAGCTATGAATTTAGTTTATTCAACTCTAATAAAATTTTAATTTTTAGCTTGAAAGAGTAAATCAGCCATCGAGATCAATAACTTTCTCATAATTAGCAAAATCTTGTAATGCGTAACACATTTAATTCAACTTGTCAAATTTGAATAGCCATAATCTGACTAAGTGGATGAATAACTGTCGCATAATACTGATTACCAAACAACAGAAGATTCATTGAGTCTCTCACTGAGGCAAAACGAAACAATGCTAAATGAGTGTTAGAAAAATGTTTGTACATTACTAGTCAAAGATTGGTGTCATTTAGAAAATAAGTGAGCGAATTCATTTATCTTGGTGACTTGTCGAAATTTCATGACAAATGTGAAATAGCTCAGACATAGTAATTCTTTAAAATTCAGCTCTGATTAAATTTTGTACTAAATTGGTAAATTCCAATCACTGCATATATATCAGCCTTCACGATGAGACTGGAGAAGTCCAGTTGTGATAGTATCATAATTTTGACTGCAACCCCAGGTTCATAAACCAGTTGAGTTCATTACTATCTATAGGACCAAAGATAAAACTGTTGATCCAAGAGATTTTCCTCATTTTTTTAACTATTGTTAATATTTCAAACATTATGTTCCTGTCTAACCTATCAGAATTCAGTCAAACATTTAAAATCTCTCGTATAATGGCGAAGAAACATGGAATGATGAAAGTATCTTATTCATTCATCTTTATAATGAACCAGAAATTTCACAAATTTAAATATTGTATTTGGAAGTTGAATAGCTGAAAAGTTTTGATTTTTTTCACATGTAAATTATTGTTTTGATTTTAGAGTCATAGTTGAACACCCAACGTCCAGTTGTTAAGGAATTTTAATGAGAAAAACGATAACACTCTGTAAAACTTGTAGAAAGTCATGTCATCAATAGTAAAAGTCGGAACAAGTCTTTTTATATTTCCTCTGTTCTTATATCCATCTTGTTGCTTTTTATTCTTGGTACTTCTTGACTTCAGAAGAGTTTATTAACATGGGTCAAAAAATGTTTTTTCCCAGATCCTGAACTGTTTCACATGTCAGTTTATTTCGTTTTCATTAGTTGGATATATGGTTTAAGGAAAACATCGTGAGAAAGATAAGATTTCTAGGAACCATAGGGATTGTTTTGTCAAGAAGAGGTGTGTTCAAGATGTCAGATATACATATTTCTATAAACAGGAACTTTTCATTTATATGCTGTTACTCTAGTACAAATATTTTTTTTGTTTTCAGTTTGAAGTCTTCATTATTTTTACGGAATATTTTCAAGTGAAAATAACTCAATTTATTTGCCTCAAGTATTGTTTTTTTAGGTGATTGTGTTATAAGTTACTTCTTATATTCCTTGTTCCACAAGATTGCAGAAACTGATCACGTTCCTTGGTAAATAGTATCTTAGGATTTTTTTAAACCTTTCCTTTTTATAGTTTTCAGGGACTTTAATCGATCAGTTTGAAGCTAATTTCTGACTCTTGTTTCAGATTGGGTCTTTAAAGTACAATTAGTGCATCATCAAATAAAAGAAAGAATATGTTCCCTAGTTACTCTATGCTTTAGGAACACACTGTATGCATCGTAGCTCCATAGTTACATTATTACTAGGCTTTGAAAAAGAGCTCCAGTTAAGCAGTAGAATGTTTCCAAAATATAGATATTTTTACGTTGATTAACATCCAAATTTCTTTATGAGGAAAATTTAACTATAAAACAGTTACTGGAAATATCTAGACACCTCAGATATCTATTTCAGATCTGTGATAACTAACAGTTTGCAAAGGTAAAGTCAACGATAAAGCCCCCTCTAAATAGTCACTGAATTATAGGATGCAGAGATACTCGTAGGCGTTTGGAGTTAGCTAACAATATATAATATATATATCTTTCGAATTAATTCTTACTAGTATGTAGAGTTGCCGTACCTAGAAATATTACTTAAGTGACTATGATGTATCATAATTTATGTTTATCACTGAGTTGGGTTTAGTGGAATAGCTTATGAATCCCAGTAACGAGTTTTACATTTGATAACAACAAAATAATAGACACTTACGGTTTGTAACGTATTGTGTTGCCCAATCATGATCTGACAATTTTCAAAACGAATGAATATTCACTCATATGGTAGATATGTTGAGGAATTTAAATTGCACTTAAAATGTCTCAATTTGTATCAAGCTATTAATTTTGCACTACGACTTTACACGAGAATGTTCATTAACAGCAGATTGTAGTATAAGATCTTCATCAACTGTGATATTATCAGTAGTCCTAACACAATTTATTTGTTTCACTATGCCTTCTGTTATCAAGTCATATATGTCACAGGAATATTTCATAAACACCTTTACGCTGAACCAAGTAGCAGATTTTTCCTTGAAATCATGAAAGAAATGTTTAGGATACTGACCGCAAACACACTTGTTTATTCATTTTCTAAAACAGTAGGTTCTAGTATCAACCCAGTAGTAAAGCCATAATGTTCATAATAAGTAGATTTGCATAAAAATAAGGAGTGGAATTCTTACCTATGGACAAAGTGTTGCTCCTCAAGATAACGGCATCCATGACATATATCTCTCATTATAGTGACTAGTGCAGGTAGATCTAATTGTGCTGTCAATGTAATAACGTTTGAAGCACTTGGCGTTCCACCACCCGGCGCCGTACTAGTTGTGCTCGTGTTTACTGACGAGCCATCAGAACCTCCTGTTCTTCCAGCAGCGGCACAGATAGCTGCAGCAGCAAAAACATTCGCAGCTATATCAGGTGCAATTCTAGGCCGTGAACGGTGAAGATAATCTCTTAAATTGCCCTGATCCATCATTTCTAGAACAAGACATTGTTGTCCAGGTGAGTCAAATGACACACCGAAGAATCGTACAATATTTGTATGTTGATATTTGTGCATAAGTGTCGCTTCACGTTTAAATTCAGCTTCAGTTAGTGATTTACAATTTCGTACCTGATTTAAGTGAGAGCGAAAAATTTGTTATTATATCTTTTCACTATGTTTAAATAGTTAGCTTATGATAAGTGGAATTTATTTTATCATACTTTCTTCACAATACCCACGGAATAAGATGATAAGCTTCACTGTAGATTAAAGCTATTTTGCCCTGGTTAAAAAATAGAAGATCCATAGTTGAACAAACTTCTGAAAAACCCTATTCGTTTGTATTTTTAACCATAGCATTAATCATAAAATTTATCGAACTCTACTTAGAATATTAGGCCTTGAACCTAGTTGGCAATAGTGAGTTTGACGTCAGATCTTATTATTTTTGATCAACCCAAAAATTGCCATCATTTGAATATAACCAACTAAGCATCTAAAAACCGAGTAAAATGGTCTATAAATCATTAAACCCCCTAAAAACAAGATCAGAATAACATATGAAGTTAAGAAACGTCAAGGATAATCAGCAAGTTGCGTCAACAAATTTAGAGGAAGAACAGAATCAAATTATGATATTGACAAAGTTATTTACTACTAGTTTGACTTCACTTTGAAATCTGCTTTTAATCCTGGTTCGAAAGGTTGGAGTAATAATGATAATTTCTTAGAGTGGTGAGTGTCTGATAATCGAATTTGTACCTATTATACCTACAACAAACTATTTGTTAATTGAAAAATACTATTTCTAGATGAGGTTAAAAGTCATGTTACGTAGGGCTGTGGTTAATAATGTTCAGATGCATCAGTAGTAAATTTTTTGATTGCATCGCTAAGTGACATTGGTCCTAGTCCCTAGAGAAAGATATTTTTCGGGTTTGGAGATACTCTCTGTTAGTGAAAGAGAATAAATATGCTACCAAACAGTGAAATTTATTGGCTTAATGTCCATTTTTTAATAGCAAAGCTTTTTGGTTATCGTATAAATGTGATTGACAGACTTTATTCAGTATCAAAGGGTAGACTGAATGAGAAAAGCTTCTACCCAGGGGTCTATTAACGATCACGATCGTATGAATTCCAGATGATGTTGACGATCTTCTCAGGTACTCCATAGTGTCGAAATTTCCATAATGTTCTTTTATCCATACCGTCTAACGCTTCCCATAGTCAAGGAAGTTGATGCATAGTGACGAATCCCATTCAATTGATGATTCGTAATGTCGCGACTTAGTAAGGTTGTTTTCTACGGGATAGGGTTTTCGAGCCCCAGCTCAACCCCCCTCCCTTACCCGAGCTTGCGACTGGCAGTAGCCCTAGAGCTACAGGCGGAGTTTCGAATAATTCAGTAGAGACTAATTTTCCGAATTATTTTGGTTTGCTATTAGTGACCTCTGAGTTTCCATAGTGATGAAGGCTAAGTACGATGTGTACTAGTCTACTTATCACAGCTTATTGAGTTTTCTTTAATCAGGTTTCCTTTTGTGCATTTCAATTCAAATATTGAAAGTAAAAATCGATAAAGTCACATTCTTCTATGTAAACATTTCAAACAGTCAAGAAACTGACTGGGATTTTTTCCCATTTATATTAGCAAATAAACGCGCAAATGTGTAGCCTTGTGCGTACATGTTTATCTGTACATATACTAAATTTCTATGTGAAAAAAGTGGACACATACCTGAAAGTATACAAGTACGTTAAAATATGTATAACTGTTAGATTGAACAAAAGTTTTAAAATATAAACAATTGGTGAACTTATCGATAGATATACTAGTTACAGTAAGAAAAGATATTATTTATGTAAAACGGGTTATTTTACAGGGAAGTAAGTTTTTTCATTAAAAACATGTCAAAAATCTAAATGTACTGATGTTTTGAAGAGAAATGGCAAAATTTTTGTATTAAATATAGGTAACAGATAAAACAAAAAAATAAATGGGAACAGACAGCCTTGATGGCAGACCAATAATAGTGGCTCAAAGTATAGAAAGACTGATATAAGCTGAGAGATGTTACTTAGAGTCTAATACTTCTATAAAACTCTTCTTTTTTGGACTGTTTTAAGTAACGTTTCATCAAGTGTAAAGAGTATTAGGTGTTTTCCTGACTCGTTTATTTACTTACGTTCTCAAACTAGAAATGAATTTCGAATATTGAATTCAATTAAATAATTTATAGTTCCTGAGTCTGTAAAGTAAACTATACATACAGTTATTAACTGAACAGAATGAGAGGTATCCAAAATTTGGCTTCAGGTTTGTAAGTATTGGATTTTAAACAATAACTTCCTAATCTTGTTTTTACCAAATGACTTTTTAATTTACGAAGGTTGTATTGAAAACTGTGAAAAATAAGAATATGGTGCTTAAATTATCCCCAAGTTCATTGATACGCTGTTGACTGATACTTTATAGTTATAGGCAATCGCTACAATTACTTCATTTCAAGTCTCTCTAATAGCCCAATATTAAAGTTGTGTTGATCTAAAGTCGATCTTCAGATACTGAAAAAGTATTTATACCAATTAACTTCAGCGAAACAAAACTAATCCTTCAATGTACACAAAATTTATGCATTCATATACGTCAGTTTATTTTATAATTTATAGCATTCTATTCGTCAACAATACTGAGTTAGTTTTAGGGGGACACTGTTTATTCATATGCTATACTTTAACGGTATGCTTAGTTATTTTCAACCTAATTTAAGATTTAATGAAAAAAAATGTGGAAGGAAGGATGTATGATCAACCTAAACAAAATCAGTAACCTACTTTTAGTGCAACCTTTTCAAATCGTTCCCCATTCGCATCACGAACATGAAGCCAACCTTCCCACACTTTACCAAATGCTCCACACCCAATATAACGTAGAAAACGTATATTTGCTGCTGGTATCTGTGGGACTTGTTCAAAGTTGTTAAGATCAGGTTTACTAATGCCGTATAATGAATTAACTTCTTGATTCCATAATGGCTCAAGAGTAGCTAAATCAAGCGGTAAACCACTCGTCGTTAAATCACTACCTAGTCCCAGGATAGATGAACCATTCCCACTGCTTGAATGTAAACGTCTTGCTGGATTGAAACTAATAAAAAATGAGTGTTTGTTAGATTTTCCATCTCTGTGACGACCTGGAAACAAAACATAAAATAAACTAGCTTGTATAAGCCTAATTTAATTGATATTTTGAGACTAAATTAGCACTACTATACAGAGTAGTCTATCATGATTATCGTTTGACAAGTTCAAATCAGAATTAACATTCTAGGCAGTATACTAGTTAGAGATACTCAGTTTTAAAAAATAGAGCATCATGGCTCCAAATTTCAGCAAAGCTCTATTTAAGATATTTTATTGCATAATATTAAATTGTATTATTTTTAAACAATATGCATCACGATATCATGTCGGAAATTAAATCTAAAGATATTAATAGTGAAAAGAACCTTTGATTTCACTGACTGAATTTAACGAAATAACTAGGACAGACTGAAAAATTTCTATTCCAGTTTTCATATTTTTTATCAGTTTCCAAGGTGCTTTATTGTTTCATTTACATACTTTTGATAAAATATAAGTCCTAATGTGACTTTGCTTAATCATTATCTTTGTATTATATTCTTTTTATTAAAAAAAAGTTTTTCTTTCGAGTAGCAAATGTTCATTATTTTTATCTATTTAATAAATTTGGAATGTAGAAACAGTTAAATGAAGGTGGTTAACTAATCATATTAAACTAAAATGCTTATCTCTCTTCCTCATAATTCAAGATACTTCCTGTTTTATTTAATACCCATTTGTTATTTTGCTTGTCTGGGACCTGATAACACTAGAAATTGTCTGATTGAATGAAAAAAAATAGTCTAAGACAAAAGAATGTCATTCGGAATTTCTATTCAGTGTCCATATTTTATCTTCTTGAATTCGTATTTTACTTTTCTTAGGTATGAACTGTGTTATCTAAGTCACTGTGCCGGTATTATTTAGAGATATTTGTAAATACTTTTAATCAACCTAAACATTTGAAACAAAAAAAAGTGACTAAATTTAAAAATGCTTATTTATTATTTGCTTTCAGTACTAACATTTGATTCAGTGATCTGAATGAAAGTGTTTGACTTAAAGAGTCTAATTTCAATTGATATTAGATTAATAACCAAATTCTAACTAATGATGACTTGAGTCTGCACATTAGAGTCCCTTTTTCATTAAAGAAATATTGATCTATAATGTTAGCTGAGTTAAAAATCTACGGGAATAACTGACCTTTATATGCATGAGAATTATCTACAATTTTACACCATATTTTGGTTAATAAAACGAAAATTTCTAAATAAATCCTAATTGGTGTTTACAGTTAGATTAGTCTAAGCTTTTCTTAATTATTCTGATCAATCAATTATGCTGAAATCAATCATTAAAAGTATATCTTCTTGTAAATCACAATTAATGGTTTATTAATTTGCTGAGAAATAAATCAAAGTTGTTTACTTGTAGGATGAGATAAAATCGAGTTCAAACAGTAACACAACTATCTTTACAGAGTTATCCATAAATTATGAATACTAAAAGCTCATTAAACATATGGAGTTCAATTGCTGATATCGTTTTATTGAAGTGACATTTCATGTCGAACCCTGAACTTTTTTCAAAGACTGATATAACGCATTATGTTTTATTACTGATTTATACTTAAGCAAGATTTCTTTTGGTATTTCTTATATGTAATATGATTTTAATTGTGAATATTTTTTACTTGGAAGAAAACATAAACGACAACTATTTGAATAGGGAACTATTGTAATACCTTAGTTTATATGGCTGTGTACTTAGATTGTGGTCACTCACCATTTCAATGTCCTGATAGTAGTTTCACATTTAAGATCACATTGTTGTTTGTTAAAATATGGCAACCTGATATGTTCGAAAATAAGAACAAACCTTGGTAGATAATTCATTGTAACGTGTACTTGTCAACGTATTCTTCCAAAATGCAATACACTTAATTTCAAATGATTTAGTGCTGGTGTTTTTTACAGCTTATCTCTCTCCCCTCCAAACAACAACGAAATTTATGCCGTTATATATTCAACACTGCTCGTCGGATGTATAAGAAACAAATCAAGGGTCAATGATTGTATTAATTACAAAACTGATCTGTTCATAATAGAATGCATTAGAATTATCTGTAAGGTTCTTTAGTTAGTAAGAGCAAGATTTAACCGACTTGGTAAATACATTTTTTAGCATTATTTCGTATGCCTGTTTGACTAAGGCTGAAGGATTTTGTGTTGATTTGAGTAATTTTCTAAACACAAACTCATAGTTTTTGTAAATCACTTTTAAGATCATTCCTTTGATATTTTCACTTCGGAATTTATGCTTTAATGTCTTTTAAATCATGAGCCATAGTTTAGACTATGATCACCATTCATTCTATTGAAACAAATGACTGAAATATTACTTCCTTTAAGACTGGATTCTCTGATCATCTGGTGAATAATTCTAAAGTAAAAGTCAAAAGTATTCCTATTACTTCTTCTTACTCAATAGTACATTTACCACTCGTTACTTATAAACTTACTGACTTCCAGTCAACATTTCAGTTACAGAGTACAATCTCGTAAGAAACGCATGACTCCATAGATGTAAGCCTTAAGAGTCATATATGTGTGAAGCTTGTTAGTATATTTCGATTTTTTTTTTCATTTCGATAAAACTTTCCTGATAAAATCATAACTAACTAACTTCTTTTTGCTATGTTACCAGTTAAGGTAAAATAGCCTATTGTATAGAATTTACTTTTCATTTGATAAATTAAATAAATGTAAGCATTTTACCAATCAAAGCTAATTTATTACTTACGTCGATAAATCAGTAATACAATTAGGAATAGGAATAAGAGTAGCAAAGCAACGGAGAGCAGACTGTAGGTCAATAAGCTTGTCACTTGATTCAGAGGTTGAAATAAGGATGAATAAACCTTAATTGTAAGAAAAAATAAAACGAAGACTATGAAATATACTTGAAGCATGAAAAGTACACTTGAAATAAGTTCGATAATTTTAACTAAACGAAAACAGTCCTTTCAAATATTGTATGTAAACTTATTTAATTATGGCATAGCACATATTAAGGAGGATGTTTTTATTTTGACTATTATTTACCGCCTGAACAATGAAAAAAAACTATCTTAGGCTTTAAACCGATACATCCAGACATCAGTTATACAAATACTCAATTGACTTTATTGAAGAAAACAGTTTCCTTAGTCAGTTAGTTTCCACATTCTGTAAGCTGATAGGTTCACCAGTGAAGCTTTTATTGTGTTTCTCAGTGAAATAATCAATTGCGAAGTTGAAAAATTTCTTTGTATATACCTAGGAAGTTTACTTTGAACTGTTGTATTCGCTTTTTTGCTGATCGAATAACTGGATCCATATTTCCTTATAATTTCTATGTTTAAAACTATTTATATGCTCCAGTTATTGAGAGGATATTTAGTGATGTTTAACTGTAATTGATGTTTACACAAATAATGCCAAAAAGGTCAATCACACTGTGTACGTTTGTGTTTTACACATTTAATTAATTACGTTTAGAAAATTATATTTGATTCATGTTCCTTTGACAGTATATCCTTTAGTTGGATAGTAAAAACTGGTCAGATCTTGTTCGTTTTTAAGCTGAACGTATTCCAGTGATCCCCGACAATTTGATTGTAATATTTGAGATATTTATTATATGGGATGATAAAATCCGTCCGTTACCTTCGATTATAGTTTTTGAGCTAAATGTTCTCGACAGTCCGCTTGATAGTTATTTTTGAGTGCACACTCCTCATGAAGATAATCATTGGACGTATTTCGGTACTTTTCTGCAAAGCACATTTCTGTCGAATACTATATGTTTTCTAAAAAGCAGTCTTAAATAAATTTTATGAGCCGTTTAATTATTGCTACTATAGCTGATTATTTGGTTATTATGAGTACACTTGTTCTATACTAACCCTCGGATTTTCCTGCATTGGTCATCAGCAGTTTTCGTTCGATTTCTTCCTTAATTCAAACATTTTATCGCCAACAAACGTTGTTAATAAAGTTTTGAACGTTTTCCAATTCTTTCTATTTAGAAGTGATAAATATACCTTGTTATTAGTAAATCGAAAACTTGTGTTAAACGACTAGACTATAATTTATGGACGAACCGAACGGGAGCCAGTGAGCGATTTCATGGTCACGGCACTTATTTCAGTATATAATGCTGACTTACGACCGGTTTACAGGGATTTCAAGTAGGACGTCATAGTTGAGTGGCTAAAACAGACGGGATTACTGAGAAGTTCCTTTATTTTTTATTACGGTATTCTAATGACTGCTAGGCATTGTAAAGACTATCATTGAGACGTTGTATTTCTATGTAATATATGTTGGAGAAAAACGTCTGCTAGAACGGGGACTTTTTCTGCTTGATCCTGATTGACACTAATACAGATTATAATAATTGTTGCAAGCCGGATAATAAAAGCACCAGTTACATTGGCTGAAACCTGAAGATTCGGCAGTTCAGTGGTATGATTACTGTCGAGATACATGTGCAATGAAAATAACAAGCTTCCATCAGTCGTTTAAAGGAATCAGAAAAGTTTTAGAAATCGACTAAACGGTCCCTAGAAAACGCAAGTTCAATAGAGGAAGAAGTGTTATAGAAGACTGAGTAAGTAGAACTTCGTTAAACATAATTAGAAGGTCCGTCTTATATATGATAGGTCATGTCAAAAAGACACTTCCAGTGCCTGAGAAACCGACAAGCTACAACTAGGATACCAATTATACGAGAGTATATGCGACCGAGTACTACGATATACATGGATGACTAGAGAGCATATCGATGTTCATCTAGACTTGCTTATGGGTATTTTATCATCGCTTTGTAGATCGCACCACGGGAGTACACACCAATAATATAAAAGCAATGCGACATAAAGCAATTCATCAGAAATTATTAGGGAACCATCAACAGTTAAACCTTTAACAACAAAGTGGGCAGAAATAGAAAGTATTCGTTCTACAATTTTTTATAAGAGTTAAGGCTAATGAACATAATGATCAAGCCGTGTCGATTTAATTCATATCTATTTTACATTTTCCTATATCTTCTGTAAAGAAGAACACCGTTTCAGAAAATACTTGTCCACATTATAGTTGTGTGATATATTTCTAATATTTTACGAAATAATTATAACGCCATTTGCAGTAAATATATCTTAAAATTAGTAGTCACATATTAGGATGATCTATCTCGCTGTCTGAAATTCCTACTATTGTTTATATTATTGAGTCGAATTTCATTTTGTAAAATTTTAGGCGAATCGGAAATAACATAAGTGGTTTTGACAAACTGACATTCCTTGAGTTAGACGTTAACTTCGTCAAAGTTGTGTTAACATACTAGACAATAACATGGGACGTTAAGAAAGCACAATAATTGTGACAACCTCTCATGATCACTTTAAATGCTATTGATCACATTCACACTGTTTGAACGTCGATTCGAATTGAATTTTACAGGATCTTTAATACATTTCATCCTTTTTAATTATAAGTAATCTGTACTAACATTTAGATGCAATCAGTAGCTTACTTTGTCACTGTTTGCATTGTTCCGTTTAAGAGGAATGTCATTAGTGAGTACTCTTCAATAATTCAAAAATATAACAAAATATATATTTAGTGCTAATATATTTTATGGCTGTCAGTTTGTATTTAAAACTATTTTCAGGTAGTTGCCTATGTTTGTGAACTTCAGTAGTAAGCCGTGCGGTCATATATTTAGTTAAACGAGAACTTTACTAGTTGATGAAAGATTTTAGGAATCTTTTCATGACATTTTTTTCGAGTACGCAAAATGTAGAATGCAGATATCACCCTTTACTTGCAAACTTACGGATAATACTACTAAAACTACAAATAAGTAGTTCAAAATATAAGTCAAATTTATATTAGTAGACACCTAGACCTTGAAGTACTTCGGAGAAAGTATTCGATTGGGAAGGGGCATGACATTTTAAAGCCCTTACACTTAATAAATATAAATTTTCGTCGGCAACAGTTTGTTCAAAAACATGCTTGAGGTCATGGGATCTTTGATCTGTTTTACGCATTAGCAAGCAACAGCTGTTTTGTTATTCTTCAAAGAAAGTAGGTAATACAAGCGGTACCTGTTGTATTGTTCTTTTAGCTTGTTCATTAACTGATTTCCATTATATAGGACTTTTTTTATCCTGGGATTTTCTGACCCCTTCTACTTATCTGTCTTTGATAATCATGAATGTTTTCTTCCAAAAAACTATACACCGACTTTAATTTTTTTAATATAATTAATAGGTAAGTTATTCTGTGCTTTAAATACATATGGGTACACATGTATTTCTGAGTGCATCAAATGTATATATATATATATATATATATATGTATATATATATATATATATGATATTGTCAAGAGAAACAAAACTTTTATTCCGTGGTAGACGAATCTTTATAGACATACATAGTATGTCTTCTCGTCTACAACGTGTACGCTGTTAACTATCAAGTCTGGTTGTTTTTGTGACTCGCATAACATATTTAAGACTATAGAAATAGTAGAAAAGTGAATAAAAGAATTTTTCTTATGGTAGACTTATGAATCGCCTCAATCATACTTGCATGAAAAGAGATTATTTTGAAATCGTAAGACAATAAGCAATTTAACGAATGCATAGAATATATTGATTCAGAATCAGTGTATGAGAAAACAATCGTCAGTCAGATATACAAACAGCACAAGCTTTTCTACTATTAAAGCATTAGAAACTAGCTTATCCATGGCTCATTTAATAGTTTCACAGTTGTGATTTTGATAAATATTTCTCGTTGCATATTAGTAATCGAAACAATATCTCTAAGGCCAGTAAATGATATGGGGTTAGTTTCTATTAGGTATCTACTGAAAATCTTGTAATATACGATTTCATTTGTGTTTTGATCACCCGTTCCTAATGTTTATATGGAGAACATTTCCGCCTTAAGTGGAATTTAAATCATTTGACCCTTACATTGGATCTATTTATGGTTTAAAAATACACATTGTCTTCTGTTTAGATTCGCTACTAAATTATTTTTCTAGTCGTTTAGTCATCTAAACAGAAAACAATATTAGATGAACATCATTTCTTGTCTGAAAAGACTTCAGATTTTAAATGAATTGCTATAATTGAATTCAATGTACTTTGAAAATTGAAGCTAAAATGTTGACATTCAAAAAATCTAGCTAAACAAAATATAGACTTATCTGGAACTTTCTGAAATGGTGGTCTTATGATCAAGTAAGCTGGATCACTCATTCCAATCTTATTGACAGCTCTCAACTGAAATGCACTTTGGTGATTCGTATCCAATGTGATATTAGCTTGTTTATCTGTTAAATTATGTGGTGTAATTGAATCCCATTTTGGTTGTTCTGAATTACTTGAGACAATCGGCCTACAAATAGAAATAATATATTAAATTAAAAGAAAAAACATACACAACATAGTTAAACTAATCATGACCGTGGTTCGCTTATGAAACATATAATAAACAGTATTTACATGAATAATTTGAAGTTAAAGGAAAAGTATTATCTAAAATTACTTATTCACTTAAAAGAATTTAGATTGGTATTAACCAAAGAGAGGTTTTTTATCTGGCTTAATTTTATTTCTTCTAGTGTGATATATAACGTAAGCAGTTGTAAACACCAAGTAAATTCAAAGAAAAGACTTTTACATCGTTTATTCTCATATGATTAATGTAAACATCACATCAAGTTCAACAGGACAATAGACTCATTATATCACGGCTTGATATCATTCATCAGGTAACCTCAAGTGAAAATATTCATAGTCAAAAGATATTACAATCAATATTTATAAAACAACTTAAGTGATGTTAGAATCAATAAAAAGGTCAAGACAAACATTAATGTTTGGAAACAGTTAGTTAAACAACTGTCGAAGGGTTAAGCGATTTAAAATTTCACTTAAAATTCTATTTTTATACATTCTGTTGTCCAGACAGAATTGGACTAGTGAATCAGAACTGGATTTTCTCAGATTATTGAAGGAATGAATTTAGTCAAAGGTAATCACTGTTGTGAATATGACTTCATACCTTTTGTCTCTTTCGTAGAAAAACGATTTAAAATAGTTAACAGATCATTTCCTTTTGTATAAATTCATTGATTGTTATTACATAATGGGATTATACTAAGTTGGATTGTATATGGAAATTTATCTAAACTACAATTTATGCTGTAAATGATTAAAGGTTTATTTTAACAATATTTAAAATAGAAATGTAAATTTGAGTGGATTCAAATTAATTTTCCGTCTATCTATTGATAGTAACTTCTTATGAAACCTTTCAAATTTATAGAAGAGTAAAATAGAACTAAATTCTATGGACAAACTCAAAATGATCAAAATGTTCGAATCTATATCAGTCATATATATATCCTGAATTTAGTAGTGCCGAACATATAAATTGGGTTGCATTAATTTGTTTTACAATAAAAATTATATTCTGCTTTTGAATTGCATTTAAGAATATTGAACATATATTTCTGTTCCTAAGTAGAACTAGTGATAGACCACACATATTTATAAATATGTAAATAGAACTGGGGTTGGGGAACAAAAGTATCACCTATATGTTCTTTAAAAATAGATATTTACCATAAGGTTTAGTAATTTAGAGAAGATTTTGAAAACGGGTGTATTATTTTCAGTGATATTCATCCACGTGACAGATAATTCAATTTATAAACATATTTCCTTATACATGAGTTTAGTTCATGATTGATAGGAAACTAAAATATTAAAATAACGTAGTACTCAAGAAGATAGAAGAAACGAAGTAAAACCTAGAATCATAAGGAAATAATTAATCGAAAAAATAACTTCTTAACTATCCGACCTGTCGTAATGGTATGCATATTGGTTTGT